AATTAGGTGTTTTACGAAACTCCTATGCAAATAAGTTTTATGGAGCAATAAGTTTCATTGATTCCACAATTCCAATGAATTTGAGTCAACAGTCACATGCTCAGTTGTAAATGAAAAGAACTATAAAAATATTCTCAGACAATGTGATCACACAAGAAAACTGATGGACATCAAAAGTATTTCAATAAAAAAAATGCATATCGATATATGTGTATAGGATGTACTTAAATCCAGCTGCCAAGGCATAAAACACTTCTGTATAATATATTTTATTATTTCTTCCTTTAAGGGTTCTAAGATTCAATTTCTATTGCATAGAATTAAATTTATCTGACTTTTAGCGCTCAATCCTTAAAGCAATTTATAAACAAAATAACTGATTGGATATTATCTTTTAATATAGTTCTTTAAAAAAGAACTATCATAACACGTTTTGGTCATTTTAAAATGTTTTAACAAACACTTATACGCTTTTGATTATGAAATTTTTGTAAGAGTTTTTATCTATTATCGCATTATGAAGTTAAATGATATGTTAATCATTCTGGGACAGCAATCGAAAATATCGTGTATTTTTTTTCGCGTATTTATTATAAAGAAAATGGAAAGCACATTGAAACAATCTGAACATACTGATATATGCCATGATATCGGAAATATGTTTCATTCATGATTATTTTCATCCAGACTGCACTACAATTGAAAGAACCCTTTCTTATTTGCGTGAAATTTAATTTAAAACGTTTCGCCTCTGGTGTATCGACTACATTCAAATGCGTAACTCCTTTAAATTCACGTGACAAAGTTCCAGATTTTTATCATACGAGTTCAGATGAAGCGTAAATGCTTCTTGCTGGGTGTCGTAATGTGTATTGTCCGAGAATAATGACAGTTGCATCTGTTGTGACGGATAATTCGGATACAAAGAGCGCCTTTGCATATAATTATACGGCACTATCAAATTATCTATGGGGCAAAAACTTGCAAATAAGCATTGTTGATGCAATCTTTTAATAAGATGTTTACCCGTGTCACTATGAATGAAGATGCATGTATTGATGTCCTCTTAACACGCTATATTATCAAAGAATATTTCCAGTATTCTTAAACAGTTTCAAGCTCTTTAGAATCTTTAGAATATGATAAGTTTAAAACAACAACAACAAAACAATATGACAATTTTCTTTATTTCCATTATGTTTAAACCCTAGAGGACGTCATAATGCTGTAAATGTATGAAGCAGATAGTGATTTGAAAGGCTACCCCATTAACACATGCATAATCAATAGAAGGTACATATCTACAGTATCATAATTAATAATATATTTAAACATGCACACAATGAAAATAAAAAATACAAGAGAAAAAAACCCGCTGAAATATAATAACTATTTATAAAGTAAAACAGCTATTTATAAAGTAAAATAACTATTTATAAAACTAAACATATCTGACAAAAGATGTCCTGTACTAACAATAAATTTTCACATATTTGTTATATTATATTATATATTATATTATATTATATTATTATATTATATTTATATTATATTATATTATATTATATTATATTATATTATATTATATTATATTATATTATATTATATTATATTATATTATATTATATTATATTATATTATATTATATTATATTATATTATATTATATTATATTATATTATATATATTATATTATATTATATTATATTATGAATAACCTATTTTAATAAGTACTACATATCTGTCAGCATGGTAAAGATTTGAACTATTTTCACTATTTATTTGAGCATTTATTTCATATTTCATCCGTTCTGCAAACGAGTTTAATCCAAATTTGGAGAGTTGAAAGGTTTGCATAATATTGACCAATTTCTTAATCATTTTAGTTTAGTTTTCTTCTGACCAGGAATCAAAAAGATATTTCATATACAGGTATACATATATTTTAATTACTAGCAATTTAACAGATTATGAAATTCTTTAGTTTTTGAGACAGAATGAACAAAATACAAAAATTTACAATTTTACACACTTAAAACGGGTTATGTGACAGACAAAAGTATTGTATGCTTAGTGTTCAAGTTTCCTATGTTTACAGTATACACAGGCCTGATATTATACAAATCGATACATTTATTATACGTTTTTAGGTTTTGTTGAATTAGCATTTAGTAATATTTAGTAATGCCCAGCGATCTGCCTCGATCTGCAACCTATGAGACGTAACGTTTAACTAAAGAAGCGAGTGACAAAATATATTCACCGAAACTTATTCTAAGTTTGGCTGAAATATTTAAAAAAGTTCCATAACATTAACAATGTAATTGGTAATCGATTCTTTTTTTACAATACAGTTAAATACACGTATAAGCATATGTAAGTTTCAATGACTCGAAGCATAGGAAGTGTCTTAGAAAATGAGCGCCAGTTCACATTATTAGGTTAAAACGTTAAAGTGTGTTCCTTCTGATACAGAAATAGTAGTCAGTATCAAATTAACTTCCAATTCGGCCTTGTATATTTACACATTTGTAGTGACAATTTGGTTGCGATTTCAATTTAAATTGATTGAAAACAAATTTAGATTTAAACGAGATTTGAAGTATAGCACAATATGACACGCAGCGTTCGCCCCATTGCGCGTTTTCAATATGTGAATTGACAATTGCTTGAAACTGTTTGATACATAAAACCGCATTACGCCAACTATTTGTATTAATGTTACAAATCAATGGTGACCACATTGGTACAATCTTGTTACGTGAAGGGCTTCTTGACCTCATGGATAATATGATATCATGGCACGCGCCGTATGTAAAGCAGACGACAGATTGCTAGAGCAGAATTTTCTTCCTAGGCTAATCAAAGTCGATGGACCTGAAATTATGACACATTATGTTAACTGCTTGAACTAACTGAATCCAGTGAAGAAGTGTCAATTTTACAATAATAATTATTTCATACTAATTCTGAACATATTAGGAAGAGGAAAGTATGCAAATTCAGTATACAGAAAAGAATTCAGAAATATTTAGGCCTACTGTAAGTAAAAGATAATATGAAATAATTTAATTATTCATATATTACGTGAAAGTTGTGCACCACGGATATTACAACTTTTCGTGATCAATATCTTCGAATAATTTAAAAAAAGTATAAACACAAAGGTTACAGAATATGCAGAACAAAATTTTATTTTGACTTGTACATGGTACATAATCATATAAAATGATAGAATACAATAATCAATACAATATATTTACAATACATACTTGCTGAGATTTTTTTTTGTCCCAGATACCTGTAATACATTAGTGATATATTGTAAATACAATACAAATACAAAACTGGAGATCAATTAGACAAGTTCAAACATATCATGATATCAAATATATTTAATATTGTTAATTGTATTGTCATTTTATGCCAAATAAAGAATATTATATGTTATATGCTATGCTATGCTATGCTATGCTATGCTATGTACATGTATTAAAACAATGGCGTACACGTTGTTAAGCATTTTAACAAACTGACAAGTAAAAACAGTTGTTATTACTGTGACATCATTGCTAAGTTATCTCAAGCAGAGTTTTGTCTGCATTCAGAGGAGAAAACGGCTGTAAATGTTTTCCTTCATAAATGTAAATAATTATAATATTGTAATTGTTACCCTATTTTCATGGAAAACCGTTAGAATTAATTAACTTTTTTGCTATGAAATATAAACTTTCTGCCAAAAGATATATAAGTAATGCGTAAAGAATTTGTGATATCAACAAATATCAATATTCTAAATAAATGATGTTTTCACTCTTCATACCCCCGCTGGTACCTAAGGGTAAAGCGCTTGTCCCTACGAACTCAAGTGACATTATGGAATGAATATCCTTGTTCATTCCCTACAGACTTGTGGGAAAAACGTTCCTAATGAGTTTTTAGAGATTAAAGAAGATCAAAGAAAAAAAAACAAACAAAAAACAAACCCAAAACCTCAACCCAGGGAGTACGGACGGACGTCCGTCTGTCGGTTCGTTGGCAATGTCAATGTCCGCTCAAAAACTTGACAACTATGTAGTGCGCTGTCTTCTTACTTAGTTATAAGATTGGGCATGGCCAGTAGATGACGATTAATCACATATTGATATTGGAGTCATTATCACGGTAGGGAATCACGTGCCACCTGCTGCAGCCTACGCGGAATAAAGAATTGTTGTCTCCTGTTCCTTTTTTTCTGTCCGTCTGCTTATAGCTTTTACAAAATCTCAAAAATTCAACCGGAATTTTAAATGTCGACAATTATTTTACGGGTAACATATTCACGCAAAATTTGTATTTTTTAAGAAATTGATGAAACAATGTCGAGTTTGTAAAGAGAAAAAGGTCATACAATTTCTTTATTTGGAAATATGAATATTAGGCATGTTGAATGTTGGCTGGTCATTTTCTTTTCCAGGACAAGAGAGAGAAATGATTTGGGTAACGGACACGGTTTCTTGTTTTGTTGATAACTCCCACGCAATATTTTATGTACAGGCAATATCTTTGGAAGGTATGATAGCTTGTAGTATATTTTCCGGGTGCAGATTTTATAATACTCGTCCCTAGCTACAATTCCCAGGAAAATTCAGACATGAAAATTGTTTAATACTTACTTTTTACGCGTTTAAACTTACGTTTTAAGCGTTATGCATAAAAACATAAAAGTTTCTGATCAACTTTCGCTTAAATTAATTCTTTTTTTAATAAACTTTGCAGGGTGTGTAATTTTCTTCAAGAAATATTGAGTCCAACTAAATATTTAAAGCTGTCAAAGTTAGCAACGATATTCTGATTGCTGGCACATATATACACATAGAAAGAAAACTGTCTGCATTGTATTAAATAGTAAGTGGGTTGTGCGCGATGGGCGACCATCGTCTATATAATAAAAAGCCCTGGGGCACAATTTGTTGGACTAGTTTTTGATCAATAATGTAAGGAATATATTTAGCGGTGTTGAATCTCTTGGAGTCAGTACATTTAGTTATGTTCTTACAAACGCTTTGAACTCAAATTCAAGCGTTGGGTGATAAAAAATGTCCTTCACGTTGGTGAAGCATTTTAGACCTTTTAAGTCTCTGTTAATAAGCAATAAGGATGCTGATATCTTAACCAAGGTAAAAATTATATGTTTTTTAATTGTTTTAAGCGCTTGATTCTATTTTGCTTCTGAAGATGTAAACCTGAAATTTCATAAAAGAACCTTTTCGGATACGACGAATTTCGGTCAAATAAGATTTGTTTACATACAGAATTTATTTAAGTTCGATTGTGTAGGAAGGTAAAAGCTAATAACCGCACTATCAAATCCATTCCTGTAATTACCCAGTCCTGAGCAGTGAGCATAAAGTTTCTTGCCAATGGTAATTATGGGTCGTAGGACAGGGCGTACCCTGAGACAGGACGGACCACAGGGGGCCCACACAGTGTTTGGATGGTATAAACTGACTAAAATCTCATTTTAAGGTCACCATCAAGCAGTTTATACCATCCAAACACTGTGTGGGCCCCCTGTGGGGTGGACCATACCAGGGCGCCGAGGGTGGACCTTATGTATGGACAGGGTGGATCTTATTTTGGGACAGGTTGGACGGTGACTCGAGACAAGGCGGACCGTGCTTAATTTCAAATTTAATATTGCTTTTGATCCATCTTTAAGCACTGAAGTCACAGTTTGTACTTTCAGTGCAGTTACAGTAAAAGAGACACACTTAATGGCTAATGACAGCAGACTGTCTTACACATGGGCGGATTCGATTCACTTATTGACACGTCTGGCGTCACGTTTTGGAATATAAATTTTTCAGGCAAAATTGACTTCTATTTAATCTCAGCTTAATGGGATAAACAAGACCATTGCCACATTAAACAAGAGCCAGCCCATGTCATAATTATGTTATTATGTGACAGGTTCATTGAACTGTGAAAGGAATTATGCATAATGAAAAAGTCTTGCATGGCAAATTTACTCTTGAGTAGAGTATGTCATGAGTCAAATGCATGTATTTCCTGATTTTCATGAGTCAAGACTCTGACACCAGTGTCTGTTACGAGCCCTGCCAGTGTTTTTTTTTTCACCAAAATATTCGGCGAAATTCGGCCCCATTCCACCCTTAAAATAGTATGTATTTCCCCTCCTCAAAGCTGAAATTTTTCCCCATACGGAAGCCAGAATTTGCCTGCATGAATATCATTTTTTGCAACTAAATGCCAAAAAATGTTTTATTTTATGCCTGTAAGACCTACTGTTAACCCATTACTTCATTAGCATTTTGTGAAAAATGGCTGTTTTCATTGAAAAGTCTCCCATTAAAGTTCAAATTGCTATAAGACTATAAAAACTGCTTCAATACTAATCAAACTTGGCACAAATGTTGACTGGACCATTGCCTTTGTAACAACATGCCCAGGCTTAAATTTCCTGTTACCATGGCAAGGAGGGGACATCTCAAAATTGCCAAAAATCACTATTTTGCGCTGATTTTTTCCATCAAAATTAATTTCAAAGTGCTGCAACTTCTCAATGAATTGTGATAGAGTCAAATGCTTTTCAGCCTTGGTTAAACGTTACCTTATGATCGATCTGGGGTCATTTTTAGCCTCTCACAAGTCCAAAATATTCTTGGCGAAGAGGGGGACTACTGCCCCCCTTCAAAGGCATGTATATCGGGTAATGGGTTAAGCAAGGTCATTTACAAATTGTTTCCAGGTAGGTAAAGGGAGCTACACCTGGCGTCCAAACAAGTTTAACATGCGACGCTTTAAATTCTGCTGTCAATATTTTAGATCAGTATATTAAGAAAAAGGAATGTATTTTAATCTTGTTTTGCAAGAGTTTCTTCCATAAAAAAACAATGTCACACAATAGTAAATCTTACAGGGAAAAAAACAAAACTTTCTACAGGGAATAGTTGAAACAAAAATGATATTCTATTCAAACAAAACTCCCTAAGAAAATCTGAAACAATTGGTTCAGCTACCTCAGGTGAAAGGAGAGGGACATTGCATTGTAATATGTTATCAGGACAGCAAAGTTAGAAGTGGTATATAAAAATATGCACTGGATTCTTTTTCGTTTCTCCTCATTTGTGAAGAAATGAAATTCCCTCTCCTATTGCATTTTCCCCCCCTCCGAAGGCCACCAACCCCCATCCCCCAAAAGTGAAAAAAAAACACTGCCTGCATAAGTATCCATAAACTTTGTTTTACATGTATCTCCATTTTGCTTAAATGTTAAAAACTTTCAAGTAAAAATCAGTAAAAGCAGAGATGCCCCTAGAGTTTGAGTCTGTTCATGAGGGAGGTGCAAAATTTCAAAACCTCCAGCCCTGACTTAAACAGTACATGTATTCAATCTACAAAATTAAGGCAATATATAAAGACAGTGCATTGTATTTGCATAGTCACAGTGAACACTTTGCTGTTCAAAGAAAGCAAATATGACTTTTTATGGGAATAGGGGTGAGAAATCATAATTTTTTTGGAAAATATAGAAAGAAAAAAAAATGGGAATACCATTTCATGTGTGTGTGTGTAGTGTAATGATGTTTTGTTAATGTAGTGTTTTTAAATTCTATTTCAGCTTTGCATTCACTGCACAGCAGTTCATAGACAACCTGATGATAAACCATTATCAGGGAAGTATGATAAACAAGGGAATTTGATTGGTCCACCCCAAGCTTTGAAAAGTATGCCAACAGAAAATATGATAAGTAGGGCTATGATAAGTTACCTTGAGAGGAAACGAAAGACAGGTTAGAAAGACTTTTATTAACTATATCCTTTAAAAAAAAAGAACAACAAAATTCTTTTATCATTATATTATGTAATTTGAGTCAAAGAGAGTTACTGCAGAGCTCTAGATTCTGTCTTCGGCCTGAAAGATGCACAGAAAAAATCAGTTTTAGAATGTTGAATATTTATTAAGGGATTGTTCCAGGCTGCTATTTTGCTTACTTTTGGAAGGTAGGTGGTTCTACTCAGCTGGTTGATTATACCTGAAGCAAAGCAATGTACTATGGGCACTTTTATGTTTGTTCTTTTGTTGTGAAAGGACATTAAATCTGTTGCAGAAATATTAATCCTATTAAGAAGATGCTCAAAGTACATATATATATATATATATTGGGTTTCCTTAGATTAATCTTAGGTTGTTTTTCGTCATTCAAAATTATAATTGAAGTGTATATATGATTGTATGTCAAAGGGACAAAAGTTTAAAATGAAAGTGATGATAAGCAGTAAGATAATTATTTACATGTGCAAACAAATGGAATATAAGTCAAGTGAGAAAAAAAGGAATACTTGGACGATATCCGTTAAAAATTATTAAAGCAGCATGACTCACGATTTATGCCACTTTTCATGAAAACTTTGAAATGTATTAAAAGTAAAATATTGTTAAGTGAACAAAGACAGTAATTTACTAGTTATATATAACAGCTCTTGCAATCCAGGAAATTACCTAAAAGAAGTAAAAAAAATATTCAAGAATAGGCCCATGCTCTGCTAGTCACACAGTAAAAATATAGTGATAAATACTGAATTATCAATCATATAAAATGTAACTTAATACTTGAATCTTACTTTTCTTAAAATCTTGAAATATTTTTTCTCAAGATTGAATTTCTTTAAATATTTTTGTTCATCTGAAGGCATGCAGCTATAAGTTTATTATATACATGTATTGTAGAAAAGAGGATGGAGGATCTAGCAGCAGAATATGATCTAGGTCGGAGACATTTAGCTAACATAATGAGTCTGGATGAGGATGAACTAACACCTGCCAGAGTTAGAGTAGGCTTTCTTTCTTATATTTATAATCATATTTTACAGCTCACCATTCATATTTACAGCTTACCATTCATATTTACAGCTCACCATTCATATTTAAAGCTTGCCATTCATATTTACAGCTCACCATTCATACATTTACAGCTCACCATTAATATATTTACAGCTCACCGGTCATATATTTACTGCTCACCATTCATATACTTAAAGGCCACCAGTCATAAATTTACAGCCCACCATTCATATTTACAGCTCACCATTCATATTTACAGCTCACCTTCATATTTACAGCCCACCATTCATATTTACAGCCCACCATTCATATTTACGGCTCACCATTTATATTTTCAGCTCACCTCTCACCATTCATACTTACAGCTCACCATTCACATTTACAGCTCACCATTGATATTTACAGCTCACCATTGATATTTACAGCCCACCATTCATATTTACAGCTGACCATTCATATTTACAGCTGACCATTCATATTTACAGCTCACCATTCATATTTACAGCTCAACATTCAATTCATATTTACAGCTCAACATTCATATTTACAGCTCAACATTCACATATTTACAGCTCAAAATTCATATTTACAGATCACCATAGTAAAACATTGATCTTTTTTATATCCCCGAAACGAAGTTTGGGGGGTATATAGGAGTCACTCTGTGGTCGGTCGGTTGGTCCAGCCGTCCGTTGCATTTTCTTTGTCCGGAGCATAACTTGAAGACTAATGGTAGGAATTCAGTACAACTTAATACAATGTTCTCGCACATTGAGAGGAAGTGCAGTGCACAAGAACCATAACTCCTTCTTCACTAATTACAGAGTTATTGCCCTTTGTTACTTTTCCTTGTCCGGAGCATAACATGAAAACTATTGGTTGGAATTCAAAACAACTTCATAGTTACAATGGTCAAGTATATTGAGAGAAAGCGCAGTGCACAGACTCATTTAAGTGTCTTTGCCCTTTGTTACTTTTTATTGTCCAGTGCATAACTTGAAGATGAATGGTTTGTAATTCAATGAAACTTCATACAATGGTCAAGGGCAGTGAGATGAAGTGCAGTGCACAAGAACCATAACTCTATTTGGATTAATTACAGTTGTTGCCCTTTGTTACTTTTTTGTCCAGTGCATAACTTGAAAACTAGTTGTTGGAATTCAATACAACTTCATACAATGGTCAAGGGCAATGAAAAGAAGTGCAGTGCTCAAGAAGCGTAACTCATTCTAGACTTATGACAGAGTAATTTTATAAAACTTCGTCAATGGTCAACACATTAAAAGGAAATGCAACATACAAGAACCACAACTGTCTTTAATTGCGCACAGGCACAACCATAACTCTATTTTAATTTCTTTGCAAGGTTTTCATTTCCGAAGCAGTCTTGCGGGGGTATTAATCACATTTAGTGATAGTTCTAGTTAAGTTTTGTTAAATTTATCAATTTTCTATCACTTACTTTGTTAAATTATTCCAAGTAAAAGGGATCTGATTTTGTGTACAAAAACTTGCAAATATTTGTTTAATAGTCTTGTTTAGGGTTGCTATAATCAAGGAAGTACTTTACAAAGATTGCAGTCTGAGAAAAAGTTACATAAATTATTTGTGGCACCAATTCAGGGATTATTTCATATGGTACATCTACCAGTATGTTATGTGTCATGGAAGTAGTATAATCACTAGATAACTGCGAAGTGTAGTACTAAGTGTATAAAGCTATACATCTACTCACTGCAAAAATTATTGTTTGAATTTTAAAGAAGAATTCTTTAAAAATGCTTGTATGAAAGAAATATGAAAGTAAATTGCCTGAATAGAATGCAAGAAATCATTACTCATTTATAAAATCCTACTTTAAATGTCAAAGTTATATATTGTTCTGGCACATATTATACAGTCTACATACAATGATCATGTTTGTTAAATAATAGAGGCATTCTGTGTTACAATTCTTTCAAGGATTGACCATCAGATTATGGAAATAACACAGTTTTCATGTTGGTAATTTTTTTTATTTTTAATTTTTTTTATTTCTAGCCGATTTGCTTTATTCCAATTTTGTGTATATCTAAGCATTACCTCTTTTTATTTATTTTATTTACAGGAGGCCATTGCCTATCTCTTACCATCAGGACTTCATAACAAAAATGCCAGACCGTTGATGGAGGTCAGTTTAGCATTAAATTATTAAGTGTTTACATCAATATTATGTTTCTTTATATTTATTTTGAAACTATTTTGCATCAAACAATGTTTATTCAATGTCTTTATTTTGCAACTTGTTGATGTGCCAAATAAAAGAAAAAAAAATTAAAGATTACTTTTTAGCTCCAATTTTTTGAAGCACTGAGAAAAGTGGAGCACACTGTCTATGGACAGGTCTTATTTTATCATGTTAAATTGGACTCAGTTTATTAGTCCCCTACCAGTTTACTGGAGGGGACTTTAGGTTTACCCTCTGTCCGTCTTTCCTTCCGTCAGTCCGTCCACAAAACTGGATACCGCGATAACTTGAAAAGTACTGAAAATATTTTTATGAAACTTGATATATAAATAGATGGCAGTATGGAGATTATGCATGTCTTTTTCTTTTCTTCCTATGTTGAAAATTCTGGTTGCTATGGCAACAAATAGGCTAAAAATATGGCAAATTTTACACATAAACTGGATCCAGTGATAACTCAAAATGTACTGGAAATATTTTTATGAAACTTGAAATATGGGTAGATGGCAGTCTGGAGATTATGCACGTCTTTTTCTTTTCTTCCTATGTTGAAAATTCTGGTTGCTATGGCAACAAATAACTGAAAATATGGCAAATTTTACACATAAACTGAATCCAGTGATAACTCAAAAAGTATATAGGTAGATAAAGTACAGCTCTTGATTTATTATAAACCACCTATACTATATTTGAATTGAACTTTTTAACCTAGATTATGAATGTTGAATTTATAGCCATGGATAATTATTTTGTTATTGACATCCAGGTTTCTTTATTTTTCAGCATCCTTCATTTTACATCCCTCACCTGAAAGGTCAGTTATAATATTTAAATATCTATTCTGTGTTTAATTTACATGTATATTTTTAACCAATGCTTAAAATTCTAAGGATTGGATTGTTAACCACCCATTTATAAGCCCTTTTCGAAATTTTTAAATAAAAAAATTGTAAAATTTCTAACCCCAGTTTTTATAACATTGTAGATAACAACAGTAAATAATATGAGAGGAACACACGACATTGCCAGAACAAGTCTAAAATCTTATTTAAAACCTATTAGTCCTTGGTACTCACTACTTTTTTTCAAGGTCAACATTAGTCAAAGATTATAGGTGTATTTTGTTATAGCTGCTGTGACACTCTAACATTGATTGTTGGAACTTCAGTTTCTATTTACCGTGGTTTTAGTTTTATAATTAAGCTATATAGAATCTGGTCAGAGTGATTAGGTGATGCAAACTGACCGGAGTCTGCCTGACTTTATACTGGTGGCCAGGGCAAGTCATTGTTCCTTTTTAAAAGTCAAGGGTTGATAAAAATCACACCAATGTAAATGAAGATATTGACTGACACAAGTCTGAAAAGCTATATTAATTTTCTTACAGACCCACTCTGTTTATGTTCATTTTCAGTCTCTCAATAATTATCCCCCACCGATGGAATCGGGAGGGGGATATAGTTTTGGCATTGTCCGTCCGTCTGTCCGAATTTCGTTTCCGGAGTAGTTCTCTGCAACTACTGGCTGGAATTCAACGAAACTTTATGGGAATCATCAATATCAAGAGGAGATGCGCATATCGTCGGCTTGTTCTGGTCTGACACTTTAACTCAAGAGTTATGGCCCTTGATTAGTTATGCAGTATGCATATAGAGTAAAAATCGTTTCCGCGCTACTTCTCTGCAACTACTGGCTGGAATTCAACGAAACTTTATGGGAACCTTCGATATCAAGAGGGGATGCGCATATCGTTGGCTTGTTCCGGTCCGACACTTAAACTTAGAGTTATGGCCCTTGATTAGTTATGCAGTATGCATATAGAGTAAAAATCGTTTCCGTACTACTTCTCTGCAACTACTGGCTGGAATTCAACGAAACTTTATGGGAACCTTCAATATCAAGAGGGGATGCGCATATCGTCAGCTTGTTCCGGTCCGACACTTTAACTCAGTGTTATGGCCCTTGATTAGTTATGCAGTATGCATATAGAGTAAAAATTGTTTCCGCGCTACTTCTCTGCAACTACTGGCTGGAATTCAACGAAACTTTATGGGACCCTTCGAAACCAAGAGGAGATGCGCATATCATCGCCTTGTTAGGGTCAGACACTTTAACTCAGAGTTATGGCCCTTGATTAGTTATGCAGTATGCATATAGATCAAAAATCATTTCCGCCCTACTTCTCTGCAACTACTGGCTGGAATTCAACAAAACTTTATGGGAACCTTCAATACCAAGAGGAGATGCGCATATCATTACCTTGTTTGGGTCAGACACTTTAACTCAGAGTTATGGCTCTTGATTAGTTATGCAGTGCATATAAAGCAAAAATCATTTCCGCGCTACTTCTCTGCAACTACTGGTTGGAATTCAACAAAACTTTATGGGAACCTTCAATATCAAGAGAAGATGTGCATATCATTGCCTTGTTGGGGTCTTACATTTTAACTCAGAGTTATGGCCCTTGATTAGTTATGCAGTATGCATATAGAAAAATATTGCTTCTCTGCAACTACTTGCTGGAATTCAATGCAACTTTATTGGAACCTTCAATACCAAGAGGAGATGTGCATATCGTCGCCTTGTTCAGGTCAGACATTTTAACTTTGAGATATGGCCCTTGATAACTTATGCAGTATACAACCAGAGCAATAATCGTTTCCGTGCTACTTCTCTGTAACTACTGGCTGGAATTCAATGAAACTTTATGGGATACAAATAGGAGATGTGCATATAGTCGCCTTGTTCCAGTCAGACACTTATAACTTAGATTTATGGCCCTTGATTAGTTATGCAGTATGCATACATCTCATTGGCATTTTCAGATATTACTATTTAACACAGAGTTATGGCTCTGTTATTGCCCTGAATATTTATCAAGTTCAAAGAATATTACTGTTTATGCCATGATAAATATATAAATAAAGCCTTATGTCTTCAGTTGTTGTGTTTGTAATAACCAGTACTCGGCGGGGGATATAAATTCAACGAATTTGCTTGTTTAGATTTCATTTCATAGCTCTTTTTGCTACACCGTAGTAGGGAGAAAGTTCCTCCAGTACTGTAGATTATATTACTTTAAAAAACTTTGATCAGTACATCATACATGGTTACTAATATTGTTATGCCATATATTTTAAAACCAGATTTAATTTCAAACCTTGCATACTTTCAGTTACGATTCCAGTATGATTTTATAAATCCATTTGTATGTGTCACTGTCATAAAAAGTTGAACCTCTAAAGTTCAATTTGAATTTTAACTGTCTTTTCTTCATCATCGTGTTGTTGTTCATTACAGGAGAGGAGTTTGATATGACAGGAAGACCTCATCACTACTTGTATTATACACTTAAACCTAACTACTTTGAACTAATGCATGTAAGTAAAATGATATAATGAATATACTTGAAGTAATGCATGTAAGTTAAATATTGAAAATATATATGAAAACAAATAAACATTTCTCCTTTACTTAGTAAAATCTATGCTGTAGTGTAATTTATGCTGTAGGGTTTGAGTTTTTAGCATACATGGCATAATTTGTCAATGTTTTTTTCCCCCAGATTTTGTGTCAGTCTCGTTGGCAAAGTGTGAAAGATCACAAATGAAAATATATCTTGCACTTTTTAGCTCGACTATTCGATAAGAATAAGTAGAGCAATTGAAGTCACCCTAGCGTCGGCATCAGTGTCGGCGTAACCACTTATGTTAAAGTTTTTGTAATACCTCAAATATTTTCAAAGTCCATTGACATATGGCTTTGAAACTTTGTACACTTGTTCACCATCATGACCCCAACCTGTAGACAGGGGGAGGTAACTGAATCAAGCATTTTTACAGAATTATGCCCCTTTTTCGACTTAGAATTTACGTTAAAGTTTTTGTAATACCTCAAATATTTTCAAAGTCCATTGACATATGGCTTTGAAACTTTGCACACTTGTTCACCATCATGACCCCAACCTGTAGACAGAGGGAGGTAACTGTATCAAGCATTTTGACAGAATTATGCCCCTTTTTGACTTAGAATTTTCGTTAAAGTTTTTGTAATACTTCAAATATTTTCAAAGTCCATTGACATATGGCTTTGAAACTTTGCATACTTGTTCACCATCATGACCCCAAACTGTAGACAGGTGGAGGTAACTGTATCAAGCATTTTGACAGAATTATGCCCCTTTTTCGACTTAGAATTTACGTTAAAAGTTTTTGTAATACCTTAAATATTTTCAAAGTCCATTGACATATGGCTTTGAAACTTTGCACACTTGTTCACCATCATGACCCAAACCTGTAGACAGGAGGAGGTAACTCTATCATGCATTTTGACAGAATTATGCCCCTTTTTCGACTTAGAATTTTCGTTAAAGTTTTTGTAATACCTCAAAAAAAAGTCCATTGACATATGGCTTTGAAACAAGATGAAATTTTATACTCTTTGAGAGCATAATAGGACTCTCTCCAAGGCCTATAACTGTAACATGGATTTAAAGAAAAAAAATCCCTTTTGTTAACTTAGGAAATTTTACATTATCAAGGCTTTCTTACTATCAAGCACTAAGAATAGTCGAGCGTTGCTGTCCTACCGACAGCTCTTGTTGAATAAAGGTCAAATAATAAATGACCAGCAAAAATTGGCCTGTCTAAATAGATTCTCAGGGAATCAATTTTGCAAGTACACTGCCGATTTACAACAGTGCAGCGTATAACTCTTACACATGGAAGTAAATAATATACTTGTTATAATCCCTTTAAGGTTGACTTTTTTTTTCGAAGAAGAAAATAGAGGTGTTATTACAGTCATGGTGGCGTTCCCATTGCGGTGGGCTAACTTAAACCTTGATCATAACTTTACATCTCTGAATGGTGGGGAATTTTTGCCATTTTTGGGGAAAAAAGGTGGCAAATGAGGCCGAATATTTTGGCCAAAAAACACTGTTTTCTATGGGTTTGAATATTTAGTGCAGTTTATGCTATGGGTTGGAATTGTTAATGGACTAGTAATTCATGCTGTAGGTTTGAATTGTTTGCTTTGAGTTTTAATAAGTGAGACTATAATGTCCCTCGGCATTTGTTTTGTGCATGTTCAAAATAGTCACCATGACTCCATGTCCTAAGGTGTTGATGGGGTCCTTACAGTGACTTAAGTCGTTCTCAACTCGACCTTACAGCGTCCATGACATTTCTACTGCGTCCTAAGTCACCCTGAGAATGTAGTAAGGTGGATAGTCCGATGTGACGGGGGTATAAAACTATAAACTATATATCTATTTCTTCCAGACATTGGCAGTGAAACATGAATCTATGAAGAGATCTGTCAGCCAGAAAGAAGAAAGAGAACATGTTATACAGTAAGTCTTATTCTTTCTCTCTTTTATTTTTTTTCTCAGAAAAATCTTTATTTGGTGTTAGCTGTTAAAATAAAGTACTTTATTTTTTTCTCAGACTTCGTGATTTCAACTAACAGCAATATACTTGTTTGGCCTTCATTGAAGTTTGTTCAACTTTATAGTACTTATTAGGGTAGGCTTATTGGGGTAACAAAAGGGAAAAATATGAAAATTTATAAAAAAATTTTTATTTATATTAATACATAGAGGATATTCAAGTTTTTACTATAAATACATGATTTATTTTCATCGAGTGGTATGAAAATAAATATTTCATGAGTGGCGGTAGCCACGAGTGAAATATGGTAATTTTCATGCCACAAGATGAAAATAAAACATGTATTTATAGAAAAAACTTGAATTTTCTGTTTATTATATACATTTTTCTCTTTTTTGACATTAAAATTTGAAAGACTTTCCCTTAAATTTTGTGAACTGGCAGAATTTAAAAGAAAGTAGTCCGGCAAGACACCAGTGAAAATACGGAAAATATGTTTCACTGCAGTGAAAAATAAATTTTTACAGTGAAAATACGGAAAATGAAAATACGCATTTTATTTCATCAATATTTCTCAATATTTCATTTATAAGTATATAATAAATTATATTAATGTAAGATATAATTAAATTACAGAGAACAAAAGCGTGTAATATGGATAGATTATGAAAAATTTAAAGATTTGTTTCCAACAGAAAGATTGAATGAGCATCATGTAAGTATTTGATTGTATAAAATGATACCACCTTTCCAACATGCACAATGTGTAATTGACTGCATTATGAAGAAAGTGATATGTATGTACAAAAAAAAACAATAACAAAAAACAAAAACAAAAAAAACCCACATAATCAAACATAATCTGACATTGAGTTTTTGTCATAATAATGTAGATTTATAAAACTGATCAACATCTTATTAAATTGAGAAAAGTAATTTTATGTCAGCTAATTTTTCATATGATTTTCTTGTTCCTGCACTTTTTATTGTTTATGTTATATATATGTAAACATAAACAATATATATATATTCATAGGTTTGTCCCAGCACCATTAGAGCTTGTTTTTTTTTCCGCACACCTAAACATATGAGATATGGAGATTAGCCTTGGTGTGTCATATGTGACAGTGTTATACAGAATCTTCCTAATGCACTAAGCCAGTTGTGAGGATTTGATACAGGAAGAACAAAATTTCCAGAAAAATGAGAGATGTTTTCTGTATTAGAGATTCCTGGCATTACCGTTTTAATGATTTTAATGTTACACAGTTCATTCTCAATATCTCAAATTTCAAGGGACCAGGCTTTTTGCTTTGAGATAACTGTTGTAGTTTTGGTCCTAAGTAGAATTAAAATATATAGGTCGAAAATGATTTTTGAGAGGCTGTAAAAATTCTTTCAGTTGCGTAGAAGTTCAAAGTAAGTGAGTTTGAGTTAATGAAAGTCAACCGAATATTCTGAATAAGGGTGTCCAAATGCTGAAATTTAGGTTTTCTTTATGAACTGTTGCTGACAGTTAAATGTTTATAAATTAAATGACGAATATTCTGTACTGTAAGTACCTCACATAATTGTTTTTATCTGTTTATTTTCAGCATAAGCGTTTTGTAGCATTATTACAGAGAATGTATGACCACCCACTTGCATCGCGTAATCAACAATTTTTTGATAAATATTTGAAAGGAGGATCTTCATTATCAGCAACTCCCAGAAAACCTAGAGAAGCACCAGTATGTCAATTTTCCTTACAATATATATACATTTGGATTTATATATAATTATAAAATTGATATGAAATTTGTTATTAAGAAATCAGTATGTCAAATTTCCTCACAATATACATACACTTGGATTTATATATAATTGATATGTTATCATTTGTTATCAAGAAAACAGTATGTCCATTTTCCTTACAATATACACTTGGATTTATATATAATTGATATGTAATCATTTGTTATCAAGAAATCAGTATGTCAATTTTCCTTACAATATACACTTGGATTTGTATATACTGTGAAATCATTTGTATTCGTGGGCATGAAATTTCGTGGTTTTATCAAAACTGGCATTTTCGTGGGTTCTTAAATTCGTGGATTTTCATTTTCTTGTAAAAAAAAGCAATGGAAAGTAATCTTTCACTTAATCACCGCGCTGTTTTACTTACTGCGTGTTTATAACACAATTTTTTTCAATAAATTTAATCCTTGCCTATGGCAGCGGATAATTGACAGCAATTAACACGTTTGTGTGACATGATATGCAGCTCCATTGGTAACACTGCCTCTTTATTACATGCTTTTCGGTGGTTTATAGAAATATATCAGTGATATAAAACTGGTAATTTCACTGTTTGAAACAGTGAAATTACCACTTTGATAATTTCACTGTTTTGAATTTAAGCCCCTTACGTTGTTTCAGTGAAATACCAGCGTACACAGTACTGGGTACCAACTTAATGACGTGACGTCGTAAATGACGTCACGTCGTATTATTATTTGGCGCGCTTTTCATTCAGTATTAGGTTTAATGTCTTTTTAAAACGTTTCTTTGCATGAATTAAAAAGAAAATTTGTTTAGTTTAGTGTAAGATCGAAATATATTTCACCTTGTGAACACCAAAAGATCATATTTCACTCGTGGCTGCGCCACTCGTGAAATATACCTTTTGGTGCTCACTCGGTGAAATATATTCCGATCTTACACTGAACTAAACAAATATCCTCTATATAATTCGCCAATGTAAACATTGCATAAATTATACGACATCTGCCACAGAGAGTAAAAAAGTTTACACCCTGAATCGGTCCAAAACTACACACTACGTCACATCGACTGTGTAAATTTATTATATGCATATAAATCAATACGAGTAAGTGGCTCAATACAGTTAGATATGTATATATTGTATGCATCTAGTAAAATGACGGCAGCTTTTTTGATATTTTCGGAATAGCAGTCACACAAATACATATTGAAATTTATTTAAATGGATCATATAAACACAAGTCATGTAAAGTTTTATGGGCGCTAATTAATGCACTGGGTTCCCATATTTACTTGATTATGTCACGTATTCTAGCTAATACAATCAAGTAGCCTCAAATAGTCCCCCCTGATGTTTATATGCGATGAAAATTTGTGATATACAATCGATATTTTTTTCAAGTTTCTTAAATATTGCAAAACTAAACTTAATGGATCTGCTTATTCACTGACCTGATTATTAAAGTATACATTCATACCACAAAAATCGGCCGGAAAAACGCCGATGCATGTTGTGATATATGGAACAGAAAAATGGTAATAAATATTTGTTGAGATAAAATTTCGTTGGGTCCTAATTTAGTGGATTGACCTATCCTCGAAAATTCGTGCCCAACGAATAATAATGATTTCACAGTAATTGATATGTAATCATTTGTTGTCAAGAAATCAGTATGTCAATTTTCCTTACAATATACACTTGGATTTGTATATAATTGATATGTAATCATTTGTTATCAAGAAATCAGTATGTCAATTTTCCTTACTATAATTATATACACTTGGATTTATATATAATTGATATGAAATCTTTTGTTCTCAAGAATCAGTGTGTCAACTTTCCTTACTATATACACTTGGATTTATATATAATTATGCCCCCATTTCAAAGAAGAGGGGGTATATTGCTTTGCATTTGTCGGTCCGTCGGTCCGTAGACCAAATGGTTTCCGAGTGATAACTAAAGAACCCTTAGGCCTAGGAACTTCAAACTTGGTATGGTGATTGGTCATAACCAGTAGATGACCCCTATTGATTTTGGGGTCAAAGGTCAAGGTCACATTGACCTTTTAAGTAAAAACGGTTTCCGATCAATAACTAAAGAACGCTTAGGCCTAGGAACTTCAAATTTGGTATGGTGATTGGTCATGACCAGCAGATGACCCCTATTGATTTTGGGATCAAGGGGTCCAAGGATCAAGGTCACATTGACCTTGTAGGTAAAAACGGTTTCCGATCAATAACTAAAGAACGCTTAGGCCTAGGAACTTCAAACTTGGTATGGTGATTGGTCATGACCAGCAGATGACCCCTATTGATTTGGGGTCAAGGGGTCAAAGGTCAAGGTCACATTGACCTTGTAGGTAAAAACGGTTTCTGATCAATAACTAAAGAACGCTTAGGCCTAGGAACTTCAAACTTGGTATGATGATTGGTCATGACCAGTAGATGACCCCTATTGATTTTGGGGAACAAGGGGTCAATGTCATATTGACCTTGTACTTAATGGCGGTTTCTGACCAATAACTCAACAACTCAAGTTGCCTTGGTTGATATTTTTATATTTAACTAAAAATGCTTTTGGTATACACATTTGAAGGTCTTATGTAATATAACAACTTGGCTGTCATTAATGAGGCCTACATGATTCATAAAATTTTATGCATATATTATTTGGTAAGATTTGTAATAACTTAAATTGCTGCACACAACCTATGGGGTCACAATAATTATTACCTTGTGACTAGTCATGACCAGTAGATACTAGATAACCCTTATTAATTGTTTGTTCACTGGGGCAGAAGACATGCATAATAACCTGATCACATGACTAATTGGCTGCTGATAGGGGGCATACATGTTTTACAAACATATCTTGTTATATAATTGATATGAAATTTATTATCAGGAAGTAATATGTCAATTTTCCTTACAACATACACTTGAATTTATATATAATTATAAAATTGATATGAAATTTGTTATCAAGAAATCTGTATGTCATATACACTTGGATTTATATATAATTTGTATGAAATCAATAGTTATCAGAAAATCAGAATATTATCATGTTCTTTGTTACTACTAGAGCCAACAGTTTCTACCCATGGTTCCAGTGCAGACCAAAATCAGCTGACACTTTTGTGCCCAGGGATTTTAATCTGCACTGTTTGCTAATTCAGTCAATACATATTTCAAAATATTTCCCTAAAAATAATGAATGGTTTTGTACAGATTGAAAGATTGACTAGCAAATGTAAGATATATTTTGAATGGAAATGGTTTGAGATGAAAATTAATGATGTACATGTTTATTTTCAGCTGTATCAAGATAAAGATGGGAGAGACTATTCCCTTGCAAAAGGTTTCTTTTTTATTATTTTAATCATATTTCAATTTTACAAACGTATTTTCCACAGTCCATTTATTAAAAGCATAACACTTAGTAAGTTCAGGTAATTGGATAGAAACCACAGAAAGTAAAAAAAGATAACATATGCTGAAAATGAATATATATGAACAATAATGGTTTTTATATACAAAGCTTGAGGCACATTGCTAGTATTTAGAGGACACTTGTAGTAACTATTTGTATGAAAAGAGCTTGTTATATTTTTCTGATCCTTTGTGATCATTGATTCCAGCATTTTTAAGTGATAAAAATTGAGTACCGCTCAAGCCGGTGCTAGGGGAAATGAAGGATGTTGCTTTTTTTTTTCATGATCCCTCATGTACAGACTAAATTAAACAGAGTCTGCAATTTTCATGTACTTTTGTTGTGATTAATGCTTCCGAGGGATCACCTGTTTCCAGCTTTTTTTTATTGAATGATTACAGGCACTAGAAAAACTGCGAGGGCGTCAGTCAAACTCATCAGTCAAGGTCATGGACATGTCAACATTAATGGAAAAGACATCACTTACTTTGATGAAGTTGTACATAGGTAAGAAAATATATTATATAACTGTACATAAATATATATATCTTTCTGTATTAAATGCATATATCACTTGCTGAAATATAGGGGCATCGGTGTCTGAGTGGTTAAGGTCGTTGACCTAAAACCACTTGCCGTGCGTCCTTGGATTTTTCATGTGAGATAACTATCCAGCTAGCTTTTCATTATACCCCCACCACATAATGTGGAGGGGGCTTTACTGAAAATATTTTGTCATGCATGTCGGTCAAGCAGTCTGTAGATCTTTTGGAATGTCTGTTTCCATTGTGTCCACTCTATAACTCGTATTCCTTTTGAAGGCTTTTTCTTCAAAGGTTAGCTCAAATATTCACCTCAACAAGACAATGTGCAGAACACACACCATACCATGTGTTCTGAACATTGTCTTGTTGAATCCTGTACTCACTGATGGATTTTCTTTAAACTTTACTCAGTTGTTCACCTCAACAAGGCAATGTACAGAAGTTATGCCACAGCTGTGCCAGCTCAAAGTCAAGGTCACTTGAAGGTCGAATTTCAGACAATTTTGTGTCTGCTCTATAAATCCATTTTGAAGGCTTTCTTCAAACTTGGCACAAATGTTCAAAGTCACCATTGAAGGTCAAAGATCAGACATTTTTGTGTTTACTTAGTAAATCCTGTGTCTATTGAGGCATTTTCTTCAAACTTGGTTCAACCTCAACCAGTTTGTGTTTGCACTTTTAAAAAAAACCGTTTTAAATGACTCCTATTGTAACTCAATTATATTTTCATTTATCCTATGATTGTAGTCTGCACTTTAAATAGGCTACTTTCCTTGTAGTAATTACTAAATCAGTCAGTTTTTCTTCTTGAAAATTTTTCTCCTGGAGAATTACTTCTGAAAAATGGTATTATTCCTTGAAAGCAATGAAAACTTGTTGAGTGACTTGATTTATTGAGTCTATTCATAAGAGAAAATGAAAAGTGCAACACGCCTCCCGGCATCTGCATAATAGTATTCAATCTTCAACACTGGAATGAAAAATCTTGGAGAAACAGATATAGAAACACTGAGATGAAGTGAGATGAAGGACTTCTGTTTTTCAAACATATTCAGAAATGATACTTCTTACAATGCTATCTGATACTATTCATTGTTGATTCAGTTCATCATGATTGTGGCTGCATTGTCTCCCCCCCTCCTCCACCAAAAAAATAAAATAATAATCCAGCGGGCAATTACCTTAAATGAAATTTAGGACATTCGGGAAATATTAGTTAAGCCATTTGACGGCAAATTTCATGTTCTATTCTTTGAGATATCTTTCTCTGGCAACTTTTCCATCAAGTTGATGAGATTTATTATGCCCCCATCATAAATGCCTGGAGTTACAACACATTTCTAGTATTATTCAAGATGTATATTGTGTGTATTTCAGAAAAGCTATATTAGCTCCCCTACAGTTGTGTGAATGTATTGACAAGTTTGATATTGAAGTAAGGCTTGCTCCTGCTGGACCGTCTGCTGATGCTGGGGCTATCAGACTCGCCATCGCTAGAACACTCCTAGCTTTTATCACACCTGAAATGAGACAAAAACTAAGATTTGGTAAGTTCTTTGTATGGTTTTATAATTTTGATTTTATGTCAGAGCAGCAATGGTTTGGTCATATGTTGTCATATAAAGGTGTACTAGGAACTCTGTGTACTCATTATTATTTGGCACTTTTATATAGCCACCATCTTGTCATGTTGCAAGATAGCTTTCCACATTGAAAGGCACATACATTTATCAAATCTTACTAAATTCAAACCTATTGTATTAATTAAGAAAAAAAGAAATTAAGATAACATACCTCAGTATTGTGCATCTTGCCTAAGATAGACTTGTTCTGGTCTCACGGTTATAAAACTTTTTATTCTGAGTTCTGTCTCGAATCTCAGGATTTTCATTGGTCAGTGTACATCATTTGGCAGTTTCTAACCAATGAAATCCAGAGATTTGAGTTTGATGTTAGAGAATTTTTTAAACCTCAGACCCAGGTCTGTGTAATGAATTATGTCTTTAAATGTTTACTGTTTTACAAATCAATTTTATACTCAACTTCAGTACATTGTTTTTTTGAATTACATGTATACTGAACCAAAAAAGAAACTTTCGCAAAGTATGTGCCAGTTGTTCAAGGGTACCACTTAGATGTACACACTTATATACATGTAGTAGCTTGTAAAACTCGTTTTATTTGCAAAATCGGTCAGCTAATCCCCGTATAAAAGCCCGATATGTTTATTCATGGTAAAAATCGAGTTTCAAAAGGATTGAAAAAACTGTACTAACATAATCTACATTCAAACTTGGAGAAAGTTTCTTTTTTGTTTCAGTATATTTGTCTTCATAATGATATGAATCAGATTTTTAAGTGTTTCTCTAAAACATGCTAAATAAATGATTGTAATTATAAGCAAAATCAGATTTTAATCATTTTGTTTATGGTTCAGGTTCTTTTATTGTTTACATTCTCACTATGAATTACCAAGTATTTACTTTATCCAGCTGGATTCCTCACTAGAGATCCCAGAGTCAAGGAAAGAAAAAAGCCAGGTCAGGAAAAAGCCAGAAAGAAATTCACATGGTAATTTATATTAAACACTTCTAAAGTTTTGAATTAAATGCTCTGGCTATTGTATTAAAATTATTTATGAATTGCTCTTGCTCTATCAATTCAACATATTATTTTTTTTGTTCCTTAAAGGGACCTGAATTTTGTTTTTTAATCAATGTCAGTGTTTTAGTTAATAACCAAAAAACAACTCTTAATTTATATGAAAGAAGTTTTTCAGCATTCTTTGTTTGGATATTTATAGCCAAAGGGTATTTTTTTTCTCAATTGAGAAGATGCCCAAGTCTCTTGTTATAGGGAAAAATTATTGCTATAAATGCTAATTTGGGAATTAAAAAAACAGTGATGTAGGTTAAGATGTTTGTGAAACTGCATGATTTTAAAAAATTTTTGATTGGGAAGTGGCCTTTGCTAGGAAAACTGCATGAATTTTAAAGAAAATTTTGATTGGGAAGTGGCCTTTGCTAGGAAAACTGCATGATTTTAAAGAAAATTTTGATTGGGAAGTGGCCTTTGCTAGGAAAAAACTGCATGATTTTAAAGAAAATTTCAATTGGGAAGAGGCCTTTGCTAGGAAAACTGCATGATTTTAAAGAAAATTTTGATTGGGAAGTGGCCTTTGCTAGGAAAACTGCATGATTTTAAAGAAAATTTTGATTTGGAAGTGGCCTTTGCGAGGAAAACTGCATGATTTTAAAGAAAATTTCAATTGGGAAGTGGCCTTTGCTAGGAAAACTGCATGATTTTAAAGAAAATTTCAATTGGGAAGTGGCCTTTGCTAGGAAAACTGCATGATTTTAAAGAAAATTTCAATTGGGAAGTGGCCTTTGCTAGGAAAACTGCATGATTTTAAAGAAAATTTCAATTGGGAAGTGGCCTTTGCTAGGAAAACTGCATGATTTTAAAGAAAATTTCAATTGGGAAGTGGCCTTTGATAAGCTTCTGTTTTAAAAGGTGCAAAATCACTGAAGGGGCGCATTAAATGTACCATTTTTCAAGTTAGTATTTTACATCAAAATAAATATATGAAGTGTGTCATTCAGTTCATTGTAATAATTGATGACAATTCCCATGCTAATGTGGACTGTTCATTCATTGATTGTGAAATCTAATTGATTTTTTTTCTGTATTTCAGGAAAAGAAGATAAATTCACTATCTCACTTGTATGTGGATATACATTCGCCTCAAATTATCATGTACAAATGATACTGCAGACAGATTTTTAATAGAACAATAAACTAAGCATTTTGAAAACGTCAATGAAGAAAAATCTTAAAGTGGATTGAAAACTTTGTTTCATAAGAAACTTCACAGAGGAAATCATGCTGAAATTATTTGAGAAGAAAAATTTATCTGTTAGTATACAGACCTGCCAAATTTTAGCAAACCATGTGGCGTGAAATTTTTTAATTGTAACACTGAATATGCAACTGTTAAAATTTTGGATGAAAGATATGAATTATTCGTTCAATGTTTTTAAAATAATTCAACTGATGCTCAAAAGATAGTTTGTACTGACAGTAAATTACATTTGAAACATTATTGAAGCTACCATTGACCAATAAAGAGCTGTTATCTATTTTGTAATTTGTCACCTACGTTACCTTCAAGCTACAAGGTTCAAAGTTGGCCAGTGACTTCTGCAGGAAGGAATTGGTTAAACTATTGGCCCTGAAGATGTGTTAAGCTACTTTTAAAGGTTTGAATAAAATATGTTCTGGATGTAAAAAATTGCTGTTGTTTTTTATTTACTGAGTAAAATGACTATAATCAGCCCCAAGGACAGAATATTCTCATTATAGTGTATTACTGACTAGCGTACAATACTTCAGTGGAAAGTGTTGTTGGTCTCCAGTAACAAGAATCTCGAAGCTGGATGACTTTCTTTTACTACATGATTTCAGGAAAAATCAGCCAATGTCAGATGTTGTCATCTATGGTGAGGAAGTTTACAGTTAATGTGGAGAAGGTTACTTGAGCTGATAAAACTTTTTATCTCAAAATCATAATTTCTGACTGAAAATCTTATGAGACAACTGAATATGACCAGCCAGTAAAACTGATTGAGAAAATATTTCTCCATAACATCATCGTTTTAAAAATGGATTTTTAGTTGTAAAGACAGAGGATTCCCGGTCCGTTTGATTTTAAAAATTTTATATGTAGCTTTTTTAAATTTTTAAATTTTTCAAGCGATTTTTTTATGCAAGATAAAAGCTAGTTCCCATATTTTAAATATAATGAAATCAGTTTACATTTAATGGTCGACTGTATAGTAATACAGAGAAAATGGCTTGGTCATAATAGATGGTTATTTAAAAGATACGAGGGGGTTAAAAATTTCGCTGAGTTCATAACAAAAGGGGCCCGATGCTGGATCGCTCCCTACCATCAACGCTCCAAGCATGTTTTGACAAAATCCTACCAAATTTTAGCAAGAGTCAAATTACTTTTTGGTTAAAAAATTTTTCCCCTATTTGGGCAAAGTGACCTCATTTTTGACTGAAGATGACCCATATTCAAAGTTGACCTAGAAATCATCAAAACAACCTTATGACAAATTTCCAGGATATTTGGATCAAAACTGCAGCCACTAGTGTTAAAAAGCTTTTAGTCTATTTTTAGCTTCTGTGAGACTAGTTTTTGACCGGAGATGACCCATCTTCAAAACTTGACCCTAGAAATCATCATAACAACCTTCCTGACAAATTTCCAGAACATTTGGATCAAAACTGCAGCCATTAGAGTGTTTAAAAAGCTTTTTCTATTTTTAGCTCCTGTGACCTAGATTTTGACGGAGATGACCCCATCTTTTGAACTGGGACCTAGAAATCATCAAACAACGCTTCTTGACAATTCCCAGAATATTTTGGATCAAAACTGCAGCCACATAGAGTGTTAACAATCTTTTTCTATTTTTTATTTCTTGTGACCTAGTTTTTGACCGGATATGACCCATCTTCGAACTTGACCTAGAAATCATCAAAACAAATGTCCAGAATATTTGAATCAAAACTGCAGCCAGTAGAGTGTTAACAAGCTTTTTCTATTTTTAGCTCCTGTGACCTAGTTTTTGATCGTAGATAACCCATCTTCGAACTTGACTAGAAATTATCAAAACAACCTTCCTGACAAATTTCCAGAATAATTGGATCAAAACTGCAGCCACTAGAGTGTTAACAAACTTTTTCTATTTTTAGCTCCTGTGACCTAGTTTTTGACCGGAGATGACCCATTAGAAATCATCAAAACAACCTTCCTGACAAATTTCCAGAATATCTTCATCAAAACTGCAGTCAGTAGAGTGTTAACAAACTTTTTCTATTTTTAGCTCCTGTGACCTAGTTTTTGATCAGAGATGACCCATCTTCGAACTTGACCTAGAAATCAACAAAACAACCTTCCTGACAAATTTCCAGAATATTTGGATCAAAACTGCAGCCACTAGTGTTAACAAACTTTTTCTATTTTTAGCTCCTGTGACCTAGTTTTTGACCGGAGATGACTCATCTTCGAACTTGACCTAGAAATCATCAAAACAACCTTCCTGACAAATTTCTAGAATATTTGGATCAAAACTGCAGCCACTAGAGTGTTAACAAGGTTTTTCTATTTTTAGCTCCTGTGATCTAGTTTTTGACCGGAGATGACCCATCTTCGAACTTGACCTAGAAATTATCAAAACAACCTTCCTGACAAATTTCCAGAATATTTGAATCAAAACTGCAGCCACTAGTGTTAACAAACTTTTTCTATTTTTAGCTCCTGTGACCTAGTTTTTGACCGGAGATGACTCATCTTCGAACTTGACCTAGAAATCATCAAAACAACCTTCCTGACAAATTTCTAGAATATTTGGATCAAAACTGCAGCCACTAGAGTGTTAACAAGGTTTTTCTATTTTTAGCTCCTGTGATCTAGTTTTAGACCGGAGATGACCCATCTTCGAACTTGACCTAGAAATCATCAAAACAACCTTCCTGACAAATTTCCAGAATATTTGGATCAAAACTGCAGCCACTAGTGTTAACAAGCTTTTTCTATTTTTAGCTCCTGTGATCTAGTTTTTGACTGGAGATAACCCATCCTCGAACTCGATCCGTATTTCATTGAGACAAACATTCTGACAAAGTTTGACAATGATCCAATCAAAACTGTGACTGCTAGACTGTTAACAACCCAATTGTTGCAACGCACGACGCACTACGCACGACAGACATAGCCCATCACTAACCTCACCTTGACCACTTCATGGTCAGGTGAGCTAAAAATGCGAAGAGTATTTGTACAGTGTACAATATTTAAGTAATTGCAGTAAAGAAACAAAACAAATTTTTCATAACAATTTTACTACATGTACTTCACATTAATACAGAATATATTTCATTCAAACTGACATTAAAAAGTAATGAAAGACGAAATGGGACAACATTTTCAAAATAAATCATCTTTTCCGCTTGAACTGCCATTTATAATGGGCAGCTGAATTCTTTGTCTCCTCAGCAACTTTTTTCCTCTTCAAAGATTTATCCTGCAGTAAATATAAAATAAAACGTAATTACTTTTTATTTCATGCTTTCCAGTGTTTTATTGTAATATATCAGATGATTATATTCTGATAAACCACTAGTGAAATTTATAAAATATAATTTTCACTGTAGCCGGACTATATCTGAATGCGGATGAAAAGAAAATTAAAATAAATGGAATAACAGGCAGAAATAAATGCCGTCATACGTTAATTTTGCTTCTTTAGGAAAAGAAAGTCGATGTCACCATATATCATGTTAAAAATTTAACAAAAATTAGAGAAATTGATCAGAACTATATTTCAAAATTGTTGATGTGACGTCATGATGTGATGACGTCACAAAGGAGAATGCGCGACGTTACGCGGCAAAATCAGTACACAATACTTAAAATCAACTTAAAAAGCATGAAATAAAAAGAAAATTTATTTGTTTTACATATAAGATTGAAATATATTTCATTCGTGAACACCAGCTATTATATTTTCACTCGTGGCTACGCCACTCGTGAAAATATTGCATCTGGCGTTTACTCAGTGAAATTATATTTCAATCTTACATGCAAAACAAACAAATATCCTCTCTATAAACGATTGAATGGACACATTAATTTTATTTTTTCATCAACAACAAAAAACATGAATCATAAACAACATCAACAACTTTAATCTGTATGACATTCTTTACATTTATTGTTGCATCTGGTTGTCAAATTTGAAAATTTGCTAATGTTTTACTTAACTGTATCATTTATTTTTTTTTAGAGATTTTTAAGTTTTTTCATGTTCAACAAACAGTCTATATCCATAGAAAACACCCCATAATCATCCAAGATAAGAACTAAGACATACCAGTAACTGTTTCCTTCGTTCCATTTTCTGTGATATTACACCAAGATGTTTCTCTCGCTGTATTCTCTTCTTTAACTCCTGATATTTCTTCTTTTTCTTCTCTGTTGCACTCTACAACACAAATCACATCTTATTTAATTTATGATATACCAAACTTAAGTTAAACTACTTATAAAGCCATTCAAATTGTGGCTTTACACAATACTTAATAACTTTAAACTTTTAACATTTTTTTTTTTTCTGGTTAAAGATATACTATGCTCACTTTAGTGGATTTTAGAACAGTTCGTTCAATAATTAAGGGATCAGGATAAAAATTGAGCTACTAACAGTTAATAGCCTGATCAGACTAAACAGATGAGCAGGCTGGTGTGCAGACTGACCGAAACAAAGGCTTATCACTTATGAAACCAGCAGGTTAGGAGTTCAACAATTTTATAAGAAAAAATACTGTTTAAATTTACCAGAAACTCTGTCTCAATCAAT